TGAGATGGAAGGGTATTATCGATGTCTACATTTGACTGCCTATAAATGAGCCAGGTAAACCTCAACAGTGGTGTCTTTACACTCCACAAAGTGTACCGTGTTTTTGATCAAGACTGGAGAGGGTTAGAAAGGGATGGATTCTTAATGGTACTCTTTTGCACCCATTTTAAAGTGTGCTTTGAAGACTTGGGAAGAATACAAAACATATAGCATTGGCACTGTTTAGCACTGCTGTGGGCAGGGCACCCTCAGATAGCTGATGCATCCTTACTCATATTGCTCTGTCAGGGCAACCCCTAACTTGGAAAGTAACTGAGAAAACTGTTTCCTGTTTTACACTGGAGTAAATCAAATATACCTCAGTAAAAGTCCATGTAGCTCTACTGATGCAAGTCTGTTTTGTAAGCAAAGTAAGAGTCAAGCCCTATTTCACCAGTCATTGCAAAGCAATAATTTGTAATTTGGGCTATTCAACTGCTGCCACAATTTTTGAGCCTGGGCCCAGTGGTGCTTAGGAACTAGTACATGCAGAGATGAGAAGAGGGCTGGTGTGGGGTGTGGTATTCCTGTTCACACCAGGAAGTCAGTGGGCATTTCTCATGTATCCTGACATGGGACAAGTGGAGAACAGCTCAGAGGCTAGAGCAGTAGTCTGGGATGCTAGGTAGTGTTTCTCCACCCCTTACTAGGCAGACTGTGTGAAACACTGTGAATGCCAAGATTTCTAATATTTACCAAGTGAAAAGATGTATCAATGCTTTCTGATGGCCAGATTAGCTGAAAACATTATCTTTCCTGTCTAGTCTGAACTCCCTTTCTCTGCTTACTATCACTTGTCATCAGGGACAGCTTTTCAGTTCTGTTTCCTGGGAGTGATCATTGTTTGGATATATCTTTTTGAATATTTGCAGGAGATTGTAACCTGATTGACTAAAAAGATAAATAAATAAAAAAGCAAGAAGCTTGCTTTGCCAAGCAATATAATTCTGGAAATAAGTCTGGTTCTGTGTGCATGGGTCTGAATGCAGTTTTCATTTCACCATGTGTCCAAATGGGGAAAGGATGAATAGAGGATGTGACATCATACGTAGCAGTAGGACACAGCCATTCACTTGGAACATCATGAGCTGTGCTAAAAGGAAGAACCTGTTTCTAAATAAATTGTGTTTTAGGTGTTCCTCAATTTTAGCAGTAGAATGAGGTGCACCCAAGTGAGATCATTGCAAGTTTTTCATCCTTCCCCTGGCCTGGAATTCACTCATCAGCAAATAGAAACCAAGTCTCCATTGTGGCAGCACTGCAGATAAGTAACTGCTTGGCCATCCATTGCAGAAAATCGTGTCCTATACTTTCTGTTGATTTTATTCCCACAAATTTCAACCCACACAATTGAGGGGAATTATCTGTTTCTAACAAAAGCCCAAGCATTTGGTAAAACAAAAAGTCCCATTTAACCAGGTGTATTTTTAATCTCACTACCTTTTTGTTCTCTAAAATTGTTCTCTGTTCAGCACTAGTGCTATTATTCAACTATGAAATAGCAGGGCTTTGTTTGTTATTTCCTGCAAATGTTAGTATCCTGAGTGCTTGTATCTCAGATCTATTCAGGGGTAGACTTTGCCTGTTGTGCTTTCAAAATTCAGGAGATTAGCATTAAGCTTTGGCAATGATTTATGCTGTTACCAAAAATCTTTGGACAAATGTGGAATGTAAAAAAAACCTAACCTGATGCTAATGACATTTCTGGGCCAAATTCATCTGTCATAAATGGCAGAACAAGTTGCATGCAGGATGTGTGTTGATCAGAGACAGATCGATGAGGCATGTATATCTGTAACAGGGTAATTTGTCTGAAGCTGGCTTTGAAAGTGTAAAATGAGGATAGATCAAGCTGGTGGAACAACTGTGTGCACCTATGCGGTGTGTGGGTGTACGCATATTGGGGAAAGTAAAGCTTTATCCCACACTGGCAGTAGGAAAAAGCCTTAATCCGGATTTATTTGCATTTCATTTCAGAGTGACGTAGAACAGTTTTAGGGCCTATCTGTAGTGCATGAGGGAATCGGTTGGAGACATTTGTGTGCTGAGAGACAGAGAGCTCAGAAAGCAAGTCAGCCCTATGAAGTGGTAGCACCATGTGGGGGGAGACCCTTGGCTCCAGTACTGCAGAGGAGCTTGGCTGCTTGGTGGAGCCACCACAGGCTGTGAGGAGGGGCTCCAGTGCCACCCACACACCAGTCCTTCCACACACACCTACACAATGTCATCCCTCCTTCCCCTTGCCATCAGTGCTTCAGTACTTCAATTCCTTGACCAGTTTCATTTTTTTACACTCAACCTCTAATTATAGCCTTCAGATGCTCATTTGCTATATACTCTTCCTGGATTTTGTAACCCTCCTAACCCATCTATAACACAAACCTGCCCCAGCTGCCCAATGTTTCCAGCGCTTCCCTGTTCCTATGTGTGCAGTCCTGGTGTGGAGCATGCACAAGACAGTTCCCATTTTGTGACTGCAGTCTGAGGCTTACAAAACAGAAGCGAGATGTGTTAGATGTTGTCTCCTGATACCTTAAGATCGGCTGAGACAATGAAACACATATTTCTTTAATTGAAAGCAACTTCTCCATTTGCTGTAGAGCTTTTGCATTGCTGCCCTAGCAGTGATTAAGGCAGCCACCATGTGAACCTTTGAACTGTGGACAAACTACAGAATACGTTATGACTAATGAATGCATTAAAGCTCTCTAGTTCTGGTGAAATGAAAGGCACAATTCAGCGTCTAGTTGTGAAATAGCTGGAGACAATAGAAGTCACATCTGGAGGTATATAGACCTGAGCAAAGTATTGTTCAAGAAAGATTGAATGAGCCTGTAAAGGGATGCAAACTGAAGTTACCCCTCCATTCTTCCAGCCTCTTCTCCCCACCTTTGTACCTCTCCTCTGTGCTGATACGTGTGTTAGTGTAATGTATCAGCAACTGGAACAGGGAATAGTGTGGCTAAAAACCACCTAGTGAAAAAATCACCTAAAATATACAATAGTTCAGTAGCATAAAGTCACTGAATAGCCAGCGCTATGAAGCCATAGCTAGCAAGATCCCTGGCACCAATCTAAAATCCAGAGGAATGAGTAGTCGTTTGACATGCTGTGTGGAGAAGAGAAAGTGTGAGAGGAATATGACTCTGGGTAGAAGCAAGGGAAAGACATTTTCAGAAGTAGAGTTGACTAAGAAAACACACAGTTGGGAAAATGAAAAGGCTTTATGCTTCTAAGCCATGTGATGCCCTGACAGCTCACACTCAGTCATGAACATGGTTGCAGCAATGAAACGTTTGTTTGGTAGAACACATTTCCTCAACCATCAGAAACTATTCTATAAAAACTTTATATTGTGTAACTGCTCATGTCCTGGCATTCAGGCTAGGTTACACATTTTTAAAGCTCACAATCTTCCAACATATGTGTTGCCACAGAGGGTGTCCTGAAAGCTGGTATCAGAGTAGAGACCTTTAAATGACCCCAATGACATCTGCCTTTGTATGACTTGAGAAGTGACCTGAGACCTAGGATAGAAATGCCTCCGAGACTGTACTTCCCTCTGCACACAATGCTTAATATAAGATGATATTTATTCTGTTTCAGTATAAATTTAAATAATATAAATTTCTTAATGTTAGTATAAAAAATACAGAAAAGTAAATATGCACACTTTGACAAATATCAGGTATATATAAATGTACCAGGACACTTAATATTTCCAGAAGCAATAAAATTCTAGTATGCCTTACAAATCCTGAAATGAGATAAAGCAAGTGTCATTATGAAATGATCGTGGGGGTGATGCTGTTTTCTAATGAACTATAGTCAAGATCATCTGGCTATTCTTATTTTTAATCATGTTCTGCTGTGGATTGTTTTCCATAAGCTTTCTGGAAGACACTTTCCCCCTTAATAAAATAAATTAATATTCATTTATCATAATGAAATTCAAAGTAACTTTCAGTTTAGGGTTTTAGCTTCTGATAACAATTTCTTATGTAAAGCAGATGATATTTTAAATCTCCCTCTCTTGCTTGCTCAAAGAAGAGTGTAAAGGGCTTTAGATGGCTATCTAGAATGTTTGACTTTTTTATTTTAGCAAACTGTAATTTAATTAATTTATAATATTTAAGATGCTAGCACCAAAGTCCATTTGATAAAATTAAATTTATGTGTTATTGATGAGGAAGACACTTAAGGATTTCAGTGATTCTTAAAAATATTTACATTTTTCTTCTGACGTTTTGTTTTACACTGTATTTTATAGGTCTTCATTTTTACTTGATGTAGGTTTTGAACTTCAGATTTATGTCTCAACACCTCGCAACAAATTTTGTAAATATTCTGTGGGAGCTTGGTCCTGAAACATAAACACTTCTTCTTATTGAGGCACTGAGGAAAAACAGACCCCCTTATTTATTATGTGATATCCAGAAGGCTAAGGAGATTTTGATCTCTTTTTTCAGGAACATCTTCTTCAGTAAGAATAATGAAATGCCATCATGCTAAGGTGAATCATAATAAATGTTATGTCTTGGCTGACACCAAAAAATAAATCAAGGAAAGTTGTGAGAAATATTGGTGATTTTTTTTTCCACAGAGATTTGGACCGGCTTTATAAATTAAACAGTATGCGATGACAGCTTTGGAGAGGTAAGTAAACCATTCGGTAGATAATCCCCATAGTAACAAAAAAAGGTTTAACCATCTCAAACCAAAATAGCACATCTGGACTTGGCTGTGTCACATGGCAATAGGGAACATTTTATTGTTGTCAAAATTCACAGCACACAAGAAAACTGTGCACAGTTTAATACTTGTTAGCAGAAATCAGTGAAGTGCAAGCAATGTGTTCAGGAGGATTCTGATTCTGTAAATCATTATCTATTTACTCACCTTTATGCTGTGTAAGGGTCCTGTTGCAATTCATCTGCTCTTTGCAACTTAGGAAAAAAAAGCAGGCTTTCACTTAATAAGTATGGAGTCCAATCCTGAAAATTCTTGCTCATGACAACAGTCCTAAATCATTAGCAGAATTCATTTGAGTAATAGCTGATGCACTGCATTCCTAATTAGCAGTATTTAGTTTTAATTGCACTAAACTTCAAAGCTGAAGACCTATTTTACAAGACAAATTCTTTAGAGTGCTAAATCAAAGATGAAATTATTTAATCTGTGTGGGTGCTGAAACTCAGAGATAAAGAGTGAACTGCTGAAGAGAATGCAAAATTTTCTTCAGTATGGACAAGGCTGTGTGTGACACTCCATATCTCCCCCTGAGAACAAAAAGGAGTGGTGGCTCTACTTTGCATCTTGTTCAAGCTGCATGAACTCTGGGTCAAGCCTTGCTAAACTGAGTGTGTAGCTGATGGCGGAAGGTATCCCCAGGGTGGTTTTTAAAAGCTGTGTGGGGTCCAGCTGCTGCCTTATCACAAAACTCACTTTTGGCTTCACTATAGGGTATAAATTTGCCCTTGTCTAAGGCTGCAAATACTTAGGGAAGGAAACAGGTATAATCTTCATTCTGTCTTTATCCTGAAATTGTCATTCCTGCCAGGTCATTGGCATAGAGAGATATAGCAATTTTTAGGTATGGGCTGTGGCATAAATTGTGTCTCACTGAGAAACTGTTTCAGGGTTTGTGCTTCCTGAGGCTTTTCCTGGACTGGGATCTTAATGTATCTCTTTTTGCTCAGACCTGAGATCAGAGACATAATTTGGGTCTCCAGAGCTATGAAATCCTGTGTCACTGGTCAGTTCTCTGGGACTCTTTGAGATCTTTGTACACAGTCTAAATATCCTGAAGGCAGTCAACTCTGACAGACTTTCCTAGTATGATTTCATCTCATCCTCATCTGTACCTCAATACTGCTAAGGCTACAACACTCAGAAGTTAGCTCAGTCTACTTGGTCAGTTCAATCCTTTTCATTCTTTAGAATGTGCCAGGAGAGTTAAAAGGGCCAACATGGGTTCCAGAATTGGAACTAGATAGATCTCTAGATTTATGTCAATAATAGTAACAGACAGCAAATTTCACACAGCCTCATTTCTGGCACCACCTCCTTCCTCATTGTGCCACAGCATGATGATGCTAACCTATTTCTCTTAAGCTCTACTACTTTCCTTTTAGCTCCAGGACAGGTCCCTGGACATATCTAGCGCCATAAAATCCTGTGGATGGGGATGCTTTTGTGTGAATGGGTTCTTCTTCTCCTTCCCATGATTTTAAAGGAAGGACTTTGCCCATAGCAAACTCTCCCAGTGCAAAAATCTTTAAGCATTATTCAGACCTCTCTAAAGAATTCTACTATGAAGGAAGAATGACAAACTCACAGAATCACAGAATATGCTGTGTTGGAAGGGACCCATAAGGATCATCGAGTCCAACCCTTAATCCTTCACAAGACAGTCCTCAAGATTCACACCATGTACCTGAGAATATCATCCAAACACTTCTTGAACTCTGTCAGGCTTGGTGCTGTGACTACTTCCCTGGGGAGCCTGTTCCAGTACCCAAACACTCTGTGGGTGAAGAACCTTTTTCTAATATCCAAAACAAACCTCCCCAACACAATTTCAGACCATTCCTTTGAGTTCTGTCACTGGTCATCAAAGAGGAGAGATCAGTGTCTCCTTCTCATGAGGAAGTTGTAGACTGCAGTGAGGTCTCCCCTCAGTCTCCTCCAGCTGAACAGACCAAGTGCCCTCAGCAGCTCCTCATACGGCTTCCCCTCAAAGTCCTTCAGCATCTTCACAGCCCTCCTTCGGACACTCTCTAACAGTTTTATAACTTTTTTATATTGTGGTGCCCCAAACTGCACACAATGTTCAAGGCGAGGCCACACCAGTGCAGAGTAGAGTGAGACAATCACCTCCCTCAACCCACTGGTGATGCTTTGCCTGATGCCCCCCCAGGACACAGTTGGCCCTCCTGGCTGCCAGGGCACTGCTGACTCGTATTCAACTTGCCATCAAACAGGACCCCCACGTCCCTTCCCATGGCACTGCTTTCCAGCATCTCATTCCCCAGTCTGTACGAACATCCAGGGTTGCTTCTCCCAGGTGAAAAATCCATCACTTTCCCTTGTTGAACTTCATATGACTGGTGATTACCCAGTGCTCTAATTAGCTGAGGTCTCTCTGCAGGGCCTCCCTGCCTTTGAGGGACTCAACAGCTCCTCCCAGTTTTGTATCATCTGCAAACTTGCTTAGTGTCCCTTTGAGTCCTGTGTCCAAGTCATTTATGAAGATGTTGAAGAGCACAGGGCCTAAGATGGAGCCCTGTGGAACCCCACTGGTGACAGGTTGCCAATCGGATGTCACCCCATTCACTAGAACTCTCTGTGCTCCCTGTGAGCCCATTGCTCACCCACCACATGATGTGTTTATCCAGCTGTGTACTGGACATTTTGTCCAGAAGGATCCTGGGAGAGACAGTATCGAAAGCTTTTACTGAAATGCAAAAAGATTACATCAACTGGCTTCCCTTGATCAACTGTGTGGGCTACCTTGTCATAGAAGGAAATCAGGTTGGATAAGCAAGACTGTCCTCTCATGGAGCTGTGCTGTCTGTGACCAGTGACTGCATTGTCCTCCAGGTGTTTTTCAATACCTCCCAGAATAATCTTCTCCATAACTTTACCAGGCACTGAAGTGAGACTGACAAGCCTGTAGTTTCCAGAGTCCTCCTTCTTGCCTTTCTTGAAAATCGGGACAATGTTCACCAGCTTCCAGTCAGCTGGGACCTCTCTGGATTCCCAAGACCGCTCAAAAACCACCTAGAGAGGTTTTATGATGACATCAGCAGCAATTTGAGGATTCTGGAATGAATCCTGTCAGGCCCCATAGTCTGTAGGGACACAGCTGAAGCAGCAAATCCCACACAATTTCGGGGTTGGCTGGGAATTGGTCATTCTCGCAGTCATGGTCCTCCAGCTCAGGGCACTGAGACTCCCTTGGTCTGTCATTCATGTTGAAGACAGAGTCAAAGAATGAGTTAAACACTTCTGCCTCATTTCTGTTCCTGTTTGGAAGGTGACCATCCTCATCCTATAACAGGTTGATGATATTTCTATGCTGCCTATTGCCATTAATGTATTTGAAAAAACTCTTTTTATTGTGCCCCACATTTCTGGCCAGCTGCAACTCCAGTTGAGCTTTGGCCAGACAAATTTTCTCCCTACAGCAGCAAGCAGCATCTCTGAATTCTTCCCACGTCACTTGAGCTTGCTTCCACTAGACATATACCTTCCTTTTTTGCCTTATTTCCAAGAGAAGATTCCTGTTCAGTCAAGCTGGCCTTGTGCTTTGCGTGCTGGACTTGTCTGTTTCCATTAAATGCACCAAAAATGTTCCCTAATCCTGACCTAAAGGGATGGCTGCAGTCAGAAGCCAGGATTTGTAAAGTCTTTACACAACAATGTATGCGATAACAAATGATTTGACATAAATCCTTCCAAGACAAAAAAGGCATGCATGGTAGAGACAGCTTTATAAAGCTGGGTGAGGAAGCAAGGTCAGTACCTCTAATCTAAATGCAGCAATCCTTGCGTTGCAGCGCAAGAAGCCTTCTAAGCAATCTTTCCACAGCTTGCTGAAATTATGCACTTTGCAATCTTTGCTTTCATGCTTCCTTTGTTAAATAATTCAGTGGGGATATTTTGGATGTGATTCTCATTGGCACATGTTTATCTTTTAACACAAATGTTTCCACCATCTCTTGTGCCTCCCTTCGGCTGTGTGTGTGCCAGGCATTGTTTGTGGCTGGAGTGGAGAGCACTTGTGTAATTACTTCTATTACACTGCACAACAACATCCTTTACAATTTAAGGTTGCCAGTGCTTTGGCAGCTCTGAGATCGCAACTCAGACTTTAATAATGTGTTGCTAAAAAAGGGGATTAAATGTTGTTTATACATTACATTTCTGGACACTGCAAATTTCACTTGCACCTGCAAATGGCTTACTGATAAATATATACTGGTAGAACTTCAACAGCAGCAGGCCAGTGAGTTAGATAAATACAACAAGACACCATAAGCATTGAAGGTTAGTTTTTTCCTGGCTCTCACACTCCAGTAGATATCAACTCCTTTCTTAAAACAGATTAAAAATAAATAAATCCTCTTTGCAAGGTTAAAAAAAAAAAAGGCATATTCAAAACACAAAATAAATTTATGTTGGAGTCTATCACAGTTATCTACTAGGTTTCCTGCTTGGATGTTAATTATGATTGACTCAAAATTTGTGGTCAATTTTTAAGTATAAAAGCATCTCATATGACTGGTTGCCAATTCTGAAATCTAAAGGCCTTGCTTTATGTTGCTGTAGTAGAACTGAAAATATAATTAAAGTTTGACCTTCAACTTTAATCCTATAAACAGAGAATTTGCTTACTTTACCTTGGAAACGGATGTGATTCATCACAGTAGCCCATAAATAACACCTCAAATTGTTAGACCAATCAATGAAAATAAGTTATTGTAAAATAATGTGACTGTAAAGTCTCTATGTAAACTACTTTAATGTTATTTTAGAATGAGGAGGGCTTAAAGCTTGAGGTAAATATTTTTAAGGAGAATAGTTACTATGTAATAAATGCAGTAAACATCAAACATATTTGGACTAAACAAGTTTGTTTTTCATGAAAAGTACCTTAAGGTAAATAAGCATTAAAGTTCCAGAGGAAGAATTGGGCTCCGCTTAGATCAAGACTGCAAATGGCAGGTTAACTAAATTGTCTGTTGCTTATCACCATGGCTGAAATAAAAACAGAGGGTGAACTCTTGTCCACATGGGAGCCCACAGGAACAGTGCAGTCATGAAAATGCTATGTTTCAGACCTCAAAGCTGAAAGCAGAAGTTCTGAGATCTGAAAGGAATTAATTAAGTCTCCACTTTTTATTCGTGGACACTGACTCTGCAGTCTGACAACAACAATTTAAATAGAAGCTGCTGTCTCATGGCTTAGGTTTTTAACAGAAATACCCAGATAATGGAGCATTTCACAAAAGATGTCTTTTTGGCTGTAAAAATTCTGATTTTAAAATTCTTTCATGTAGCAGCATAGTACTCATTCAAACAATATTTAACACTCATTTAAACAGACTATACGGGGATATTGAACTGAATGGAATATCAAAATAAATAACCTAACTTTGGTTCATGTGTATTGTTGCATTTTACTGTCCACTTAACCAAAAAGCTATTTTACTGAAGAGAAGGCTGAAGCTGATTTTAGCCTGCTATATCAGAATCAGAGCTTGTCTGTCCAACATTTAGGTCTACCAGCTAAAGTTTTTGCACTCCTTATGTCAGTGACAGTGGAGACGACAAAATACAAACAACATTTTTCATCCTATTTTAGTAAAAACTTTTTGTTTGTACATGATGGAGTCTTTAAAGATAAATAATTAATGTGTGAATAAACTGTACTGTTGTTCAGTAACACTTGGAGGTGGTGGAGTTATATCTAACGACAGGTGTGTACCTTCCATTTTACCTTTCATTGGTGCCATAAAAATAATAGAAAAATAATTTCTTTTTACCCTATACAGGAATCACTCTGCTGAGATTATATTGTAAATATGTAGAGAAAGAATGTAATATAAACAATTATTGTTGTGTAAATAATTTTCTGACAGAGCAGCTCTTTAGTATTTTTTGCACAAATGTGACTGTGTCTTCATTTGTTAATATAAATGGAATATAGCTGGAGTCAAAAGCATTCTGGATTTGCATGATGACAGCCAGCACCCTCTCCTGGCCTTTCTCTTTGTCATTTATAGTTTATTTATTTACTTGAACCTCAGATCTGGTGGGAGGAAATGAGGAAATGTCAGGAATCCCACGTGGACTCAGTGAATCTCTGCCAATAACAAGGACCCCAAGAGCTACTCCCTGGAAGCCTCTGCCCCCAAGGAAACACCACCTTCCTCATCGATCACAATATCTCAGTCCATGTGCAGCCATTGCAGTCTTGTGCCACAGGTATGGATCCACCAGTGTTACAAGTGGGACCCCCAGTGCTGGAGGGGTGAGTGGCCTCCCGCCGAGCACAGGGTGCTGCTTTCAAAGAGGTCTGGCCTTGTAGCAATAGCAAAGCCAAGAGGACACCTTTGTTTGAATACAAATTATTACTAGAGGGCGAAGAACTGTGGCTGAGGTCTAAGCATGCAGGACCCTAAAGATAAGAGCCCATCCCAAGTAACTCAGCTTAAGTAGAAAACAAAAGATGGCACAAGGGTGGAGCAGAGGGGTGACTGTGCTGCACATCTAACCGAAGCAGTTACCTTTTCATCCAAGTCTAGTCACTCTTGGCAGATGGAGAGGCTCCTGTGGGGCAAGAGGGGTAAGACCCATCTCATATGCAGAGGGAGGGTACTGTGACCCTGTGCCATTCATCTCCTCTGATCAACAGTCCCACGGTCAGGGTAGCCCAAGGGAACAGCAGCTTGACTTACATGATGTCCTATGGAGGGAGTGTAGCTGTTTTGAGAAGGTTTGAGGAACGATAATGAAACAATTTCCAAACTGTTTATGTATAACTTCCTGCAAATCTGCAAGACAGAAAGAGAGAAAGCACAGAGGTGCCTTCCTGATGATTTAACAAATGGCTTTGCCATTCTCATCTGCCTGGGATCTACACTTCCAGCTCTCATGTCTTGGCTGTAAAATGAACTTACTACTGCAGTCAGTATTTGAAGACATGCTTCAATATATTATAATTGAAAGGACCTTTTAAAGAGTGATCTCCATAGACAACAAAGCTTACTTCCTATTTCCTTTTTATGGACTATCACATTAGACAACTGAATGTTAAAAATCATCTCTACGCTCACAAAAATTTTTAATGGCATCCCTACTGAAGTGTCACTTAAAGCAACCAGCACATAATTTTCTGTGGTCTGCTTTAATACTGTTTCTGGTTTTACAGATATTTATTTTGTGTTTGAAGATTTATTTGGGAAAAGAGAGTCTTCTGATATGAGTACTGTAGTATTGATTCTTCAATCAGTGACAGGCAGATTAAAACAAGTAAATTCTACTCAAAATAGAGTGAAAATTTAAATTAATGAGTTTGGGAATGGAGAAGAGACTTCTTTAGAATGTTTTAATTTACTTTTCATCTGATGAAAAAATATTTTTTTTAAGAAAATAATGAACACTAAACAACTTTTTGTTGTTGTTATTGCTATTTTTGTTTTCTTGAAAGAAACATCTCTTTTAAGACAGAATAGCAGTATCATGTCATTACTGCTTTCGCTTGCATCTCTCTCTTCTCACCCAGACATATATTATGGGTCAGAAAACTTTTTTGTCATTTATAGTGATAATGTAACTAATTCACCTATGCATGCTGTACTGGTGTCATAAAACATGCCAGTTTATCTCACACATTACCCATCACGTTGTGGAAAACAGAGCCTGAAATATCAGAAAGAAATTTGAAGAACAGACAACTGTGATTGAGCCAAGAGAAGTGGTGCTGGGGTTTATAGATGTAGTTAATACTACTGTGAGCAGTGCTATTGCTGGTAATCCTGACAGTCAAAAAAAAAAAAAAAAGTCGCTTACCAAGTTCCTTGTGTTGGATTGAGCAACTCACTAAAAATAAATCATCCATTCCTTTCTACTGCCATGAAATAGAGGAGAAATATAAGTAGTTAACAGAAAGGCTGACCTTAGAGATTCTGTTGCCCCAGAACTGACGAGATTATAGGGAAGGGAGAGTTTATAGCAGAGATTTTTAGAAACAAATGCTTTAAGATTTCATTATACATTTCGTAAAAAAAACCCTGAAAAACATTCAGTCCTCTGGGACATGTTTCATGACTGGTATATAACCTTCCGTCAAGCTCAGCTCTCATAAAATCTCACGCTGTGTTTGTATTGCTTTATGGCAAACTCTTACTATTTTGCAGCAAAACTGCAAATAACTGGTACTGGAGTAAGCTTGCTACCTGAACATTTAATTTTTCACAAAGAAGCAGAAGAAAAGTAGGTATACAGTCCATGGGACAGTAGACAAGATCGCTGCTCACGCTGACACCAAAAGACCAACCAATTAATTAACTTATTTATAAAACCTAATTATTATTAATCATCTCTATGGTATTTTTTATGCAGATTGTGAATGGAAGATAGTATAGTACAAATCAGCCATCATTCTTTCATGAGAAAGATGACACTTAAATCCCAGGCACAATACTTTAAAGGGGGTGTTAGAAAACCATATATTTCTACTGTAAAGGTGAATTCCTACCATCTCTGAATATACACACAGCTGTGAAGTACCACAGTTTGGTCTTTTAAGTTATATTGAGTAGTTTCTATATAGTTATTCTAGCTTTTTTCAGACTTGAGTTAATGAAATTATTTCCATGTTGAATTAAAACTAAATTTTTCAGGGAATTCACAACCAAATTGGTATTCATCAGGTCTCTCTCACCAATCCTAGCATGTCTGCTAAAGGAAATTACCTACTTTATTGATACAGCTGAAGCAGAAGTGTACATAACATACAGTGTAAGTTTTAAAACACTTCAAAAACTACATCATGGAAAGGCATCACAACACATATTCACTTCATACTTGATGGTAGAAGTAAGATCAAACTCCATGGAATTTAACAATGCTTGATATTCCTCTAAAAATGACTTAATTTGCATCCAGGTTTTTGTCATGTTTCAGGCCTTCACTAATGTTACTGTTTTCCAAAAAGTCTGGATTCTTTTAGATGAAGAGGCAGAATTGGCCTTCAGCAATTTATTTGATAGAAAATAATTCAAAAGTATATGAGAGGTAATAAATAAAACTGAACTTTCATTCCCTTTTTCAGCTTTGCTGTGATATATTTTTGGAATAGATTTACATTTATGACTAAGGATAGTGTCATCAATAATTCACCCTTCAGCAAAATGCATTATGTTATAAATTTAATCGCACACCAGATCAGACTATTCTAATTTTAAGATTGTGGCATTAAAAAAAAAAACTTTTTACTGAGAGAGATGTGATACTTGTCTGTGAGAAGTGTCTTTTCACTTATCCTCCAAGAGTTATTTCAACAGGTCAATATCCAGATAAAATACTAAAGTAATTTTTCTCTTGTTAGAAAATGTTTTGAAGTTGTGTTACTTTCTGTCTTTTTAATTGAAAGATATAGAGATCAATAACTTTTGGGTGCATCTCAGAATTTTGATTTTTTAAGATGGACATAAAAATATACCCTCTAGGACTTTGTAACTCTTTTGACAGATGGAAAAAAATTAATTGACATTAAAATAACCAAAATATTTTAAATTGAAAGAATGACATAATTGAATAATTAGCAGGAAAAAAAATCACTTTCCATTAATTTATAAAAAGACTGCTATCTGGTAAAGTTGATGTTATAATTTGAAAATGATTACATAAAGTTCAAACTTTTAAATTGTATTATACAATTTACATTTGAAAATATTTTAATGCAGTTTCATGTCTTTAAAATAATGAAGCAGAAATGGATAATTACCCTTTTCGCTCTGTAGTAACAGAGGACTTCTCTCAATATTTTTGTATTTCTATCATTTCAAACATCAATGATGACAGAAGAGAATATGTCTTTTTCAATCAATTCTTTAATTGTTTCTCCACTTCTAGGAAGAATGAATACATCAATGTCAATATAGAAAACTTTAATATGATAAGCCATTTTAGCTACAGGGGAAATTTGTGAAACAACACTTTAACGTGCTGTTGTAGTGAATGAGTAGTGCTGTTCTGTTCCTTCCACAGAAGCCATCTTGCAGATCTCTGAATTCCTTAGCAATTAAAACAGTCAACAAAACAATTACACATTAAAAATAATTCAGTACACTTGCTCTTAGATGCTGTGATAGAATTATATTTATGACTAATTCCATTTTCGTGTTGCCTTTCATCTGATGAAGTGACAAGTATATTTGAGTAATTTATTTTGCCTAAACTCTAGTCAGCCTTATGGTAATTATCTATATGAAAATTTTGTTCACTCATTTTGGAAAATGTAAAACCTCTTCTTCTGCAGTACAAAACTTGTTTATAGACTGCTATCATGGGAATTTTTGTCACCATTATGATTTACATGGGACTGCAGCTTAATCATGCCTGTACCATGATCACTGCTTGGCACTTGTATGCTGGTATGTATTTCCCAGGTCTGTTTCCTATGTAATCCATTATCAAAATGAAGAGAAACATGGAATAAAACAATATTTAAACACCAGATGACTGCATATGAAGAGAAATCCTCACTGAAATACATTTAGGTAGACTATAAAAAATGTTCAGGATTATACTGATTATTTCATTCATACTTTAACAAATTTCTGTGAAAAGTCAATCCCTCCATTTTTTTGTGTTTTCTGTACACTGTCTAAACAACAGTCATTATTTGAGATGTCAGCCAACCAGATATCTCTTGAGAAAATTCCTCCAGCAAAATAAACTTAGGTTTTTGTATTTGACTTTTCCTCATCTGGGTAACAAATTTAATGTAAATCTTATAGTCAGGACGATATTTTAATAAGCAAAAGTCACAAAAATGGGATACATTTGAATGTACTGTTGATATAACATGAAAATAAAACCCTTTTCCACCAAATCTATTTGTTTAGTTCATCCTATGGTTAATAGATCTCTAGTAAGACTTAACCTATTTGTTTTGTTCTAGGGATAGATTGAAATATTCTGTGAGGGTTTCATTTTCCCAATGACCACAGAGGGTGTTAGACAGCTAGTTTAAAGAGTAACCTCATGTTTGAATGGGTAGACTTAGATATGAGGACTATCAACCTTAGTTTTTTCAATTTTGAATCTGGACTGTGAATGTGGCACAAACAACAATTACATTGCTTACTGTAATATGGCTTCAAAAGCTTAACTGATTGATTCTGCTTTATCCTTACATGCATTATAAATGAATAAGGAAAAGATATTTCCTCTGAGTTAGAACATGATATTTTCCA